GGGCAAAGGAGGTGAGGGGGTGGGGGCAGAAAGTGGAAATGAAAGCAGACAACAGAACATTGTTAGAGATCAGGAAAGGATGTGAAAGGAGACAATTTTAGAGAAGAAAATTTTTTTGGTCGCTACCCGGAATCGAACCTTTGAATGAGAGGCCAACACCTTAACCTCTAGGCCACGAGAGCCCCCTCTCAAACTGTGCTCACTTTGGTGGCAATATAAGCCGCCGTTTGCGCAAAATCCAGTATCGCATCAACGTGCCACCAAGACAAAAGCTGGGAGACTTTGATCGTGCCAGAGCTATGGCATAGCTGCAGGATGGACTTGGAGCCCGAGAAGTTGCCAGAAGGCTTGCAATGTCACACACTGTCATTGTCAGGCTGAGGCAGCGTCATACATGATCAGTCCAAGAATGCCCACGTGCAGGTTGTACCAAGAAGACCACTGAGAGCGTTTGCAAATGGTCCTTAACTTTTGTTGAAGTCTGTATATCTCTCTGCTCATTTGTAGCCCACATTTAAGTGCATAATTTATATTTCCCACAATCGGTCAGCAAGGTTATGGGGCATTGTGTATGCGTGTATGTGATATGATTAATTAAACAACAACAGCAAATAAAATGAAAACTTAAAATAAAACTGAACAGAGCTTCAAACTCTATGAAGACCTAGGTGTTGCGAGCAGCGGGACAGCGCTGTTTCTAATCATCTAAAAAATGGCGACAAAGCAAACTGGGTGAGCTTACACAGCCATTGTGAGTTTATATGGATGACGTCATAGCTGCGACTTCTAGAACTATTATAACCTCTTTGGAGCAGACCGGAATTGGGACAACCACTCCGTGTTTTTATTTTCAAGGATAGAAAACCCCAAACAAGGCGGAAGCAAATAGATCTAAGGTACATAACTCCCTCCACAAACCTTTCTCATCCCTGACCTCTTTGATTGTAGGCTATTGTTGTAGTCGTCGGCCGTCGGCCAGGAAGTGAAAGTGAAGCTTGATCTTGATTTACCAAGAGCCAACTTTAGGTCTGAGTGTTTGGCTTTGGTGTAGGTCTAAATGGTCTTCTGTTCTGTATCTTAGAGTGCGGATCTTTTTGCCACCAACTGCATCCCTGTTTTTGGTAAGTTAGCATTGTAAGAGGCTGGAGAGGAGCGGGTTGTTTGAACGACCGTTGTTTAAATGTTCGTAGGCCTTAAATGTTAAATGGGAAGGACTTCCGTAACGAGCGACCACCCCATCAAACACAATAAAGAAGAGGCCTAGACCTAACCCTACCCCTATCCCTACCCCTACCCCTACCCCTACCCCTACCCCTACCCCAAGCCCTCAATTCTGCTCTGTCTCATATTGGTCGCTCGTTACGGAAGTCCTCCCTTTTCTAGATCTAGTCTAGATGGTAGATCTAGACCCTAGGCTAATGTTTGATCTAGATCTAGATCTAGATCTAGATTTAGATCTACATCTAGAACTAGAATTGCCCACTAGGACTGTGTAATTTGTGCCAAAAGTCAAAGGACTGCACTCTCATTAGATCTACCCAATGGAAGTGTCTAAGTACACGGTAACCGACAACTCATGGTCTTTCCACCTCCACTATAGCATCATCATTACTTCCACCACCATTTTTTTGTCTTTCCACATGTTTAATTTCATTTTGTTGTGTGTTATAGTGTTTCTCTAAGGCTAAGGCTAAGGCCTTATTATTAGGCTATTTTCATTACATCGCACAAAACCGACAGCCGTGGTCTCTTCCCAACACCTCTTCCCCCAGCAAGCTGAGAGTGCGAGAAGGCTTCGCTCAATCTCATTGGTCGATATAAATTAACTTTACCCCCAGCAAGGTCAGCACCACTTAATCGTTCTGTTCATACTAATGATGCAGGGAGGGCCAGTTTAGATAGATCTAGATCTAGTAACTGGATAATAAAGCTCACGTCTCGACTGTTATCATTATAATCGAAAAAAACGTTCATACATCCTAGAAATATTTAGGAACAAGGGTCGGAAGTCGGAAGGGACGTCATGCTGGACTCAATTCAGAGTCCGAATATAATTTTTCTCTATTCGGACTCGAGTCCGAATAGTCACTTCGTATGAAGAAAGCTAAGAAAAGTAAGTTAAGTCAAACTTTAAGGTTACAGGTTTTCCTATTTTAAATTAGAAGCAAAAGGTACAAGATCTAGAAGATATAGAATAGATCTAGATATCTAGAGGAAGATCTATTCTCACAGATGATTATTGACTGATGATGTCCTGTCCACTGATTTTTTGTGCCATGTGAATTGTTTTTTGTGCTGCAGCGAGCACGGAGCACACCTCTGTGATTGGCCCAAATATAGATGACGTATTTCGGCGATCTATTTTTGTAGTCTTCCGGGGCTTCCCTTGCAAGACTAGATCTCACCATGGTGGCGGGCCCGCTTTGCTGCAAAGCATGCAGTGGGCTTCGTCACTAGATCTAGGTTTCATCGCCGACTGCTTGGGCTGTGTGTGCGTACGTGTGTGTGAGCGCGTGTGTTTGTGGGCACGCACTTGTGTGTATGTGTGTGTGTACAACTTTGAGGAGAAAGTAAATTTATGGTACGAGAATTGTTGAGATTGTTTTTTCGGCTCTCTTTGGAAATTGCCTTCCTGTTCCATTGGCAGCCATTCTGAAACTGATAATTTCCCTTGTAAACATGAAGATTGTGTGATTTAAAAAAAATTATTATTTTTGCCAGGGGCAGCCCCCCTTGGGGGGCTAGAAACCCCCCACGGCTCGGTGTAGCGAATGAGTTAATTTAACTCACTGGAGACTGGGCCTTTTTTGGGTCTACGTACGCTGAAGACTGGCGTTTTTAGGGGTATTTCAATATTTAAAACGACATCCTTCCAAAGACATACGACCATCTAAACATGCCAAATACGACCCGAAAAACAGAAAGGCAATATCTATTATAGTTTTTCAGAAATGATTTTTTGAAAATTTGCTAAAATTTGTTGCTCGCCAAAATTTTTTTACGTAATGTCTTTTATGTTAAAAAACCCCAACAAAACCCCCCAAAAATTAATCTTGTGTGTGTGTTTTATTATGTTTTGTTTTTCAAAAGGAATAAAAAATCCAAACTCTTGAATAGGCAGGTAATAGATATGGTAATCCTATGTATTCGCTGTCTAATCCACTTCAGTGTAAAAAAAAACAAACCCAGGGCTCTAGACAAAGCGGAATTTTGCATAGTCTAGATCTAGAACATTCGCTATCAAAATCAGTGCTTTTATGCTCATTTACATTGAAATCAGGATCCCCATTGTCTAAAATGTCATAAACAGAATTTTCTGAACTGGCAAAGTTGTGCAAACACTTGAAAAATGTTTGCTTTTCGTGCTACCAAATGGGTGGTTGGTGGGTGCTCTGGTGTGGTTTGCTTCTTCTTTCTTATCAAAGATCTATCGTCCTGATCTCTCTTCCTTCTTTTGTTTTTATTTTTTACTCTCTTGTAACACCTAATCTTCGACCTTATTGTGTTGCAAGTGCCATAAAACTTACTAAAACTAAACGTGCTTCCATCATACTGATAAAGTGTTGTGAGAACAGACACCAGTCAGAAAAACGAAAGTAGGGCCTCGATGTGACTGACTTTCCTTCCGGGTCGATAACTCATAAAGTTTCCAGCCAATTCCAGTGAAACTTCGTACGAAACGAAACAAAGGTCGGCTGCACGGTAAGACACAGTTCACGCAGTGTTGGCGCTCATACTTTCCTGAGGAGAAAATGTGGAAAATTATGCTCGCATGGGGTGCGTGAAACGTCTCTCGGGGAAATATTGGTAATTGGTGCTCGCAGATGTTGCGTGAACCATCTCCAGTGAGTTAAAGTGAAGGTTTAAAAAAAATAAATTATTGTCTTGTCTTTGGTAACTGTCCAGCATTCACAACTCAAACTTCAGGCCTATAGTCATATTTACCACACACAGCTTTAATAGAACTATTATTTTTGATTGTCTTTGAGACTGAGATTGTCTATTTTTCAGGATTGGACTCATTTAATTGAAACAGGCTTTGGCTATTGTAGTTAGACATTTCGATTTTAGTTTAGTTTAACTCATGGGCGCGTCATATGATCAGGTATTCTAAAGCACTTTTCTTGTTCATTTTTGTCTGCTTTTCACAAATTTTGACTTTTTATCCATTGCAAATGAGATGTTATGTATGCATGTTTTTATACGAACTAAAATATTACAATAGAGACCCAATTCTGTCTTAATACCTCACTAGTTTTAAAATTCATTAGGGATTTCAGGGGAAATGTGCTCCCCTGACCTTAAAAGAAATCTGGG